TTCCGAAGACAGCAATAAATACCCCATTCGGTCACTTTCAGTTCACAATGATGGGTTTCGGCCTAACAAATGCCCCGGCAACATTCCAAACCGTGATGAACAGTGTCCTCCAGCCATACCTGCGTAAATTCGTTGTGGTGTTTCTAGACGATATCCTCATATTCAGCAAATCATGGGAGGAGCACCTCGATCATGTCAGAACCATCTTAAACGCCCTCAGGAGAAATGAGCTATATTGCAAACGTCTAAATGTGAATTCGGCCGGACAGACGTTCTGTTTCTTGGGCACCGGATAGACGGCCAATGCATTTCTCCAGATCCAGAGAAGATCAAGGCCGTGCATAACTGGCCTGTCCCGACGACAGTCACGCACGTAAGACAGTTTCTGGGATTCGCTAATTACTTTCGAAGGTTCATTAACCATTTCTCGGCCATCTCCAAACCCCTGGAGGAACTGACAGGGAAACATGTGCGCTTCGAGTGGAATCAGACTCGACAGGAGGCATTTGAGCGATTGAAGTCTGCTCTGCTGGATGCACCAGTGTTGCGACTAGCAAACGTCAGTCAGAATTTCCGCTTTGAGACTGACGCAAGTGACTTTGCTGTGGCAGGAGTCTTAACGCAGCAAGCAGAGGACCAGTCCTGGCATCCTGTGGCTTACGCGAGCCGAAAGCTGTCTTCTGCCGAACGGAATTACACGGCCGCCGAGCGAGAAACTTTGGCTGTAGTGTACGCCCTGCAGTGCTGGCGAGTCTACCTATTTCGCCACTTTCAACTCTACACCGACAACATGGGAGTTGTCTACCTCAGGACCAAAAAAAACTGAACCAAGAGAGAGGCTCGATGGATTGAATTCCTGGCCGACTATGACTACACGGTACATCACAAGCCAGGGAAGTGTAACATAGCAGACCCGTTGTCACGTCGACCAGACTTGGAACTGAATGGAATCGAGTTCTCTCTGGATGTGAATCAAGGAATTACGAATCAGATCTCAGCAGGGTATGATAGTGACCCAGAGCTTTCGCCAGTAATCAAGCGCTTGATGGCTTGCAGCGAAGACGCCATGCATGAGCGATACGTCTGGAACAGTGTGGACCGGCGGCTGTACCTAGTAACATCGGGCGATGCTCGCCTCTGCATTCCTCGCGGTCCGGTACGGCTGCAACTGCTCAAACAGAATCATGATTGCCTGACGGCCGGCCATCCGGGGAGAGACAGGACCTACCTGGAGCTGAGCAGATACTTCTATTGGCCAGGCATGAGAAGTACTGTGAAGGACTTCGTTAAATCTTGCGACCGGTGCCAACGCGTAAAGGGTAGCCAGACCAAGGCAGGACTGTTGCAGACCCGTCCAGTCCCCGAACAGCCCTGGACAGACATCAGCATGGATTTCATCATGGCACTGCCGCTGACCTGCCGAGGACATAGCGCCATTCTAACCTTTGTGGACCGTCTGACGAAGTATGTGCACCTGATCCCGACGACGGTTCATGTTGACTCTAAGGAGGCAGCCCGATTGTACGTGGATCATGTGTTTGCTGCCCATGGCTTGAGCAAAACGATAGTTTGTGATCGAGATCCGCGATTCACGTCGGCGTTCTTCAAGGAGGTTTTCAGTATTCTTGGCGTGGAGCTAAAAATGAGCACGGCCAACCACCCGCAGACCGATGGCATGACTGAGCGTGTGAACCGTGTCATTGAGGATACGCTAAGAGCTTTCGTCAACCATAGGCAAAACAATTGGGATGAACTCCTATCGCTATGTGAGTTTGCGATCAACAACGCCGATCAAGCGTCAACAGGTAACACGCCATTTTTCCTCAACCATGGATGCCATCCAGTTACTCCCTCGAGCTTATTGACGAAGCAGAAAGCTGGAGCTGGCATGGACACGAATGGTCCGCTGTCATGGCTGGATGGCCGCGTAGAGGCACTACGTGAGGCACAGGATGCCATCGTGGCGGCGCAGGCCCGGCAATCATTGTATGCGGATCGAGGACGGGTGGAGGACGCCCTGAAGGAGGGGGATGAGGTGTTGGTCTTCAGGGACTTCCTGCTGACGCCCGAGGAACGAGACAGGCCTTCACACAAATTAAGGCTCAAGTGGTATGGGCCGTTCAAGGTGCAGAAGAAAGTGGCCCCGAATGCGTACAGATTAGCTCTTCCAAGAATCATTCGGGCCCATCCAGTGTTCAATATTGCTGCCCTCAAGCTGTACCATGGCAATGAGATACCGGGCCGTACTCAGCCGGCACCTCCACCCCTAACCGATGCGGATGGCCATACGCTGTACATTGTCGAAAAGGTGTTGTCGCACAAGAAGAGAGGACGGCGCACGCAGTACCTAGTGAAATGGAAGGGCTACCGAGATGCCACCTGGGAGCCGGAGGAATACTTGATGAATGCAGCAGGAAACGCTATTATTCCGCTGAAAACCTACCTGGACCGTTTTTCTTAATTGCTATTTAATTGGCAGCCACAGTTGTATTGCTAGTTCTACGTGTTGCAATAGAAATGTAGCATTCTGCATGATTAGGATAGTGCTTTCCTGCCAGCCAGGCGTTATTTGCAGAGGACATGCACTGGATCTTGAGTTCATCAGTGTTGTTTTCGGCTACCATGCATTCCACATATCCATGCATGATCATTAGTTACCATAACTGTTCCTTCGAATTGGTACTGTTCTGACAGTTGAGAGGGGGGAATGGTGTAACAGATTCACTGTTACTACTAACACTAGGAATAGTCAGGAAGTTGGTTGCTCCAACGAGGAGCACACGCTTCTTGCCGAACTTGACACTTGACTGACTCACGACTGCCATCCGGAGCACACGAGGAGCACGTCGCACATCCCGCTCGGCAAACCTGAAAGAAAGCACCACTCCCTGCTCAATACACAGTGTTTCGGGGAATTCACCCCTCATCAGTTGAGCTTGAGTAGGCTGAGGAAGATTGTGCCTGAAAAGCACCACTTATATACTGCTCTCCAGGCCAAACCATCACCAGGGATACAAACTTACAGAGACGCTTTGTTTCCAGCGCGACAAACACCTCGTGAAGCCCTAGGTAGCAGCGTGAGTCAGAGTCGCTCATGGAGTTGTGCTGAACAGACGTTGAGAGCCAGTATAGCTATTCACAACGCTGTCACCTCCTAGGAATAGGATACACTTATCACCTGCTATTATCACGCTGGTGCTGTTAGGTGTTATGTCCATCATTGCTTGTTCATGTATATAAGAATGCATTATGGCAAGGATCATTGCTTATTCCAAGAATGACTACTGAAGTTAGTTGGACTGTTACAGATGGTATTAACTTTGTTCCGTGAGTTTGTCTTAACAAGAATTTGTAACCAGTTAATACGGTCATTTCTCCAATAGAGACTCGGTGAGATTTCTTCTACAGCGATCTAACCCATACCGACCCATCGACTCGTCTGGTATGAAACCAATGAGTACCGAAACCTTTCTGTAGCAACATGACCGCTACAGGAACAGCAACAGAGAAAACAAGATACGTGTACAACACATTCCTACAAGTACTAGAAACAGATTGTAGATGGTAATTCTTGCATTTCCGGCATACACCTTTGTTTGGGGCAGTGCAATTTCGGTGCTACTGACGAATCAAACAGCCCAGATTAGAGTCAACCTATCCAATCGTACGAGATTTTAACGAGACGCATATTCCGTCAATGCGTCATTGAACCTTTCCTTCCAGATTAGGAACTACCAACGACATTACGCCACTGCAAATTTCAGTCTACTGTTTGATCGCGACATGGCATTCTGGGAACAATGCAAGTACTTCAAAGTACCTTACTTGTAACATACCAATGTACAATGGCACATATCCATATCCACTCAAATCCAATATCATCAGCAATTTAGCAATGTTGATATACGAAAATACGATAACGAATGTGTCAAGGGCACTGAACTTAGCATTTAGGCGATACATCTAAAGCCTCAGCAGCAACATGAGCCTTACGGTCGGGAAGGTGAACTCGCGTTCTTCGCACCGTGGCTCTGGACAAGGGCAAACACATAAGAATGCTTCTCAATCCGAATGAAATCAGCACAATTTCCCGTAAATGAAAGGGTTTGCATCAGGAAATGACTGGACGGAAACTGGTGAACTCAAAAACCGAGTAGAGTACGAAAAAGGGAGTCTCTACAGCGGAAAAGCAAAAATTAGAAATTTCCTGTCAGCATTTCCATTTTTTATTTTCGTATTTGCATTCCACCTAAAATCAGCACACTTTTCGCAAATGAAAGTGTCAACACAAGCAAATGAACCAAAGTGAACTGGTCAACTCACCTGTCATTGAGTAAAATTCTGTGAAAGGAGGAAGCGAAATAAACCAGGACACGAAATATTCGAAACAGGTCTTGCAACGAGAAATTCCTCGTGCATGTACATCCGAAAAGGACTGCAACAAAATGTCTGCCGTGCACACGCACGCGGCCGTAGACATGGAGTCGTGAAATAGTACTCACTGGCCTAAGTACCGAGTACCTTTCATAGACACTTACGTAGACAACGTGTCATTACTGATGTCGTCTAATAGCTTTACATTGAGACCACATTACAGTAAAAGAAAAGCTGACAGGATCGCTTTTCATTAGGTGGCAAGCTGTCTTTGATGGTCCGGTACGGGATATACACGGGATTGCGCCAGGAATGCCGTTGTCAGCCACAAACTACCGCAAGTCTTTTGCATAGCTACTGGATTAATGTCCACTAACACCACCAGTTACTCGACAATCAGGTCATGTGATGACATTACACAAAACTGACCGACAGTACTGACGTTCTATAACTAACTGGCGATCAGCTCTGTCGCGTGTTAGGTGCGCCCTCCAACACCCGAGTCTAACTTGAGTCTTCTTTGCCCTTTTCAAACTTTATAAACGTTCACTATTCACATCAGAGAACATGAGGAAGATAGAGGAAGTGTAGGTTTTTAAACTGTCCTCAGGCCAACTGTTCAATACCTGTAGAACTGTATGATGTTTTCAGTGCCCAGTTTCCAATTGATGTTTGGACCTCGGATGTAGGCTGTGTGGCCTGCTCTTGCGCAATGAAAGTCGGTGAAATGGGTGTATTTCTAGGTTCTATTGGTATATGCATGGATGTTGTAGGCCTTGCTTTGACATTTGTCGGCACAGATCTACGTGTGTTGGGTGGCAGTGTAGTGGGTTCTTCCTCTGTCGTGTCTGCAGTAACCACAAGCAAATGGTAGGTACAAACAAAACCTGTAAACAAAGTTGCTATAATGGACAGTACTAGAACAGTCAAGAGAGAGATAGAGAGTAAATACGATTCAATCCATCACCACCACCACCACTATGTACCACCAACCACAAAAAGGGTAAGCGGATTATGCCCGCATTATATTTTGGCAAACTAAGGTGGTTTTTGAGAGAGAGCATAAAATGGGAGATGCCCAATGAGGCTGTTATACACACCTGCTATTGAAGGCATAATTAAAGGCATAATGTTTGGCATAATCAGGTCCTTTTTGGGAAGGAGCATATCATGGCTTCCGAAAAACAAGGGAAGATGCCCAATGAGGTTGTTATGTACACACCTCCTATTGAAGGATCCTTATAGCGCTTCTGCTCGAATTGAAATAATATTTTAACCTCTTTTAACTAAGCGTCGTACTAGTACGGCGCACACGAGTTGTCCCACGACTGTCGTACTAGTACGACGCGCGCTGTACACCCTACAGTAAACATGCATTTCATAGTCGTGGGGCCCGTATTGGGTTCATAGTGGCTTTCTCAAACTATCGTAACTCACTCAATACTTGGTCGATTCTCATCATCGAAACAAGTTTCTGCAAGAGAAAACTCTCAGCTGGCGATAGAAACGACTTCTGGCTGTTGAGATATGAGACACGACATGGCAATGTTCAACTCGAAATTTTTGAGCAGTCTGCTGAACGAGTATTTTCCATTTTGCAGCAATTTGCGGAGCCTGCTGAAACTACATGAATAAGAAAAGCAAGTCAACATATCACTGTTTGATGGCGGAGTGAACTACCGTCAACTTTCACTCTTGTGAGAGTACTCGTTCTTCCAGCAATGTGCTGAGCCTGATGAGCGGCGGTGACGCTAGAGATGAGGGATGTTGTTCTGTTTTTAGGAGACATGGCTCGGGCAAAACCCGGTGCCGAGCGGGAACGTTCAATGCTCGCTCGTTGAGAAGTAAAATAATGAAACAACTTATTATTCAGGACTTTGAACAAAACGACCTAGACGTGCTCGGAGTGACTGAGACCTGGATTGATGAAAATGGAGTTGACACAATGGACAACGGACATGTCATGTATCGCTCTGGAGGTTCGTCTGGTCGTGCCGGTGTTGGAATACTTATCCACAACGGCTAAAAAATATTATTGTCTCGTACAAATTCGAATCATCTCGGTCCGACTCGCTATAAATCCGCGCAGGGACGGCAGAACAGTTACCGTCGTGTGCTGCTATGCTCCAACCCTGCAGCGCTCTACAAAATATCCTGCTGAAGCTGACTGCTTCTACTCCGTCCTGAGTTCCATTGCAGGCGAAGTAAAACGGAGAGATGAACTGTGGATACTTGGAGATTTTAACACCAAAGTAGGAAGCTCTATCGGAGAGAGAAGTGGCCCAGTAGGTTCTTACTCCAAACATACATCTAACAATGCCAATGGTGATAGACTCTTAGACCTGTGTGGTGAGCATGGGCTGGTGCTTTGCAACACTCTGTACAAGCACAAATTACAGCATCGCTCCACATGGTTTGCAGGTGGATTGACATACTCTGACGGCCGTGTGGTGCGGAATATGATTGATTTCATAGCAGTGAAGACTGGTGGACTAACATCAGTCACCAATGCAAGATCATATTATTATGGAGGATTCCACACCAGATCGGATCATCATCCCGTAATTGCCGACTTTCGTCTCTCATTTGGACCAGCAAAGCCTGCGCCAAAGTCTACGGAGCGATGCTTCTCCAAATACAACCAACCTACAGAGATAACCAGGAAACTCTATCAGTCAGCACTACTTGAAATCTTCCGGAGATCCAGCTCTCCCAAGTATCGCCTCAAGTTATTGATAACCTGTGGGATGGCTTTGTGACGGTTGTGCATGGTGCAGCTCTAGGTGCATTTGGGAGGGCAAAGGTTGGACACAAGTCCGTCCGCAGCATGAATACTGAAGTGTCTACGCTGTCGCAACGGCAGAAAGAGCTTCACATCCAGAAGCATGCGGAACGTGATCCTGAAAGACGGCAACAGCTAGCAAGAGAACGCAATCAAATACTGCATGAAATACGATCAATATTACGAAAGGAGGGTGACCAATTTTGGCAGGAGAAAGCAACAGAAGCAGATGCATTACGGCCCGACGCACGGTCATACTACAATGTAATTCGTAACATTCGCCAACTTCGTTCCTCAGTCAGCCAGCCACCTGTCAGACTTGCAAACAAAGATGGTGAAATCATGGCGGACATCCAGTGGAATCTCGATGAATTCCGCAAGTATTACTTGTCCGTATTCCATCGCGATGACGTCCCTGCTGCAGTCGACCACCCAGCAGATGGAGAGGTAACACCTGATGAGGAGCCATTTACTCAGGAAGAATACAATAATCAGGCAGACTGCTGTTGACCGTCTGGCTTCGGCAGGTGCACATGTTAGCACTATTCAGCAACCAGTCTCCGAAATTCTGCTTGCGTGAAGCTGGGAAAGCAGCTCAGTCAGTCATTTCCAACTAATGTTGGAGTGGTGCAGGGGGACCCCCTGTCACCCCTTATGTATATTGTCTACGCAGAAGGTGCAATGCAGAGGATCAGAGAAGACTGCCCAGAACAAGTCAATCTACCTACTAAGTTCACCATGTATGCAGATGATACAACAGTGCATGACCACAGCCGGACAGCAGTTGAAGCAACCGTAGAGAAATGCGAACCCATCTTCGCAGTAGACAACTTAAAACTAAACATCAGCAAAACACAATTTGCAACAGCTACAAAGTCAGATGCCTCCTGGAGGTCGGTCAAACTGTTGGGTTCTCGTCTGGGGTCAGAGGAGGACATTGATTTACGTATCATAGCAGCGAACCGGGCATTTTTCAGTGTATCATGGAAACGCCATACCCAGCAGTCCCGCTTAAGCATGTTCAACTGTCTCATTTTGCCAGTTCTCCTATATAACTGCGCGCTATGGACTCTAACAAAAGCCTTTGAAAGCAAAATTGATGTATGGCACCGCCGTAAACTCAGATACATACTTGCAATTATCTTTCCCAATAAAATTTCGAATAATGCTCTTTATACTAAAACTGCTCAATGCCCAATAAGTGCAGTCTGTAGACGCCGGCGCTTATTATGGTTTGGACATGTCATTCGTGAAGGGACGGACGCTGTGTCCTACAAAGCCCTTCACATGGCAATGAATATAACAGATATAAAGGAGCCAAGAGGTCGCCCAGTGACCAGATGGATAGACAATATTAGGAATGACCTTTTACGTCTCAATATGTCTCTTTTGGTAGCGGAGCAACTTGCCTCAGACAGAACGCACTGGCTCGACGTTGTCGACAGATGCATGATCCTCATTTGATTTTTCATATGAGCTATGTGCGTGCTGTATTAACATTTAAAAATTCGACGAGGAGACAATAATTTTAATATGGCAATAAGTAGGACGAGCTGAAGCGACATGTGGACTACTTTATTAACAATGTAAGCGATGGAGACGATGCAAGAAACAACCTAAAGGGTAAGGAAAAATACATGTAAGAAGAAAAAGGGCAATGGAAAAAAAAAGATGATTCGAATGATGTTGTACGAAAACTTGTTCGAATCATCTTTTTTTTCCATTGCCCTTTTTCTTCTTACATGTATTTTTCCTTACCCTTTAGGTTGTTTCTTGCATCGTCTCCATCGCTTACATTGTTAATAAAGTAGTCCACATGTCGCTTCAGCTCGTCCTACTTATTGCTGTATTAACATTATTATTATTATTAACTAGTTTGAAGGAAAGAATTATTATTATTATATCACCTAAAATCACCGCACAGGCCTTACAGGTGTGAAATGGAGAGAGTTTGTCCCTTTTCCTGGGAAGGAAACATTGACGTACCACCACGGGAAAGTATTTTATCTGGACATATTCTGCTCGCGCTTCACTGCCATATAATAATAAATGAAGTTAATTGATGCGCACGAACACTAGATAGACCTGCCTTCAGAACTCACTTACATTCCATGAAGAGACGGATGATCGGTATATTGATCGTGTTTGCACTGACACTGCACTTATGGGCTGTATAGTTTACCACCAATGGTTTGATGAAGACTCTCACTTGAGATGGCTGCGGACACTGTTGCCTTAGGTTAGATGACAGTGAATCCAGACCATGCCATCGAAGACAACTTTGTGCCGTTCGGCCACAACGTGCGATGTGGGGCCACGTTTCCATCTTCCCTCCGCGGATAATTTGAATATCTGTTTGACAGTCTGATCCTCCTTGAATGTAGAAGTTCACGTAGCGGACTATCATGTTGCATTGTGAATCCGGTGAAAACAGTGCAGAGACTTGCTGGCCATACGTCACGTTTCGCCAACGGGCGTGCTGTTTGGTGCCTGAACTGTAGTACAATACTCCTACAGTATTGATAGAGCTGGTCTGCTCCTGGTAGAGACCAGTCATTTGACATCGCCTCGTGTTGCATGATTGCCCATCACAGACGAGGAAGCACAGACCTTAACAACAGACACAAATGTTCAAACAATAATAAGAGAATGACGAAACACTGACTTTCAGTTAGAGCACTCTGGCAACGTACGTTCGGGCCTGGTTTAAATCTGGCTTTGGAAAATATATAATTCATTGCTATCAGGTTCGATCTCATTTCCTCTGTGCTGCGCTGACGAGTCCACAAAGGACGTAAAGGCTCTGTCCGAAAATTGAGGATGAAAAATGTTTATATACAGAATTTAGCAAACTAAGCGATCATCAAAAAACAGTAATGAGATACGTAGAAAGGACAGCAGTCGTGAAAGATTGCATCAAGGCGTAAAGGTGCGAATGACAGTAGTGGTGAAAGGTGTAACTTCAAATCACAAGCACTGGAGCTGGTTGTCTGCTACTTGATTAGGTAATACTTGTTGATGGTTTGAAATTCCGAAGGTAGTACTTAATGTTGTGGCGACACTTTGACACAAGTTCACTCCTCTTGTTGAGAGAGAGTGAGAGAAAGCGAGAGATAGAGAGAGATGGGTACTTGGGTGTTAACGCGATTGCTAATTTGTCCGTCCGGCATAGGTTGAACATTTTGGTTTTGTTCCTGTAGGTCACTGCTTTGCGGTGTACTGCCCATTGAATGCTGAATGCGTTCAAATCATCCTTCTTGGCCCTAAAGTAGGGCGGTAGGCGGGTCTTCTTCTCCTGTTGTCCTAGGCGGAATGATGATTGGTGGGTATAGTAAAGCTGTTTGAATGTTGTAGTTCGTAATTCAGTAGACTCTTGTTTTCTGCAACTGTGGTTATTCTTTGTTATAGACAGTGCTCTCCGTTAGGCACGCTCCGTCCAGTGGACATAATTCTTTCGTCCGACAGTTACAAGTCCTGGTGTCGTTGTTGCCTATTATTAATATCATTATTATGTATTCTTCTTTTACTAGGGAATTCCCAACAGGCGTCAGCGCCTTTTTACAGGGAACTCTCAGTTGGCTTGTTTCGTGGGTCGTAGGATAGTGTTTATTGTGGTGTTTGATGATGCTGGCCATATTCTACAAGTACGTACGTAGCTAAATTTTAACAAGGTGCGGTCGAAGATTTTGATGAGACTTGAGCTTTTAGAGAAGTGTTTGGCCACTAGCTGCAGAAAGCGATGTCCGACGTTGGTGGCGGCGTTCTTGCTAAACGGTAGATTGAACCATATCATGCCCCGGTGGCGATCCCTATTCTTCTTCCTTTTTGGCTCGTTAGTTTTACGCTCGTCAATTTACTGTACGTTCTCCCCGTATCCACTCAGTCTCAGTGCGTCACTGTAGGCCGGTGTCGCATCTCTGAACACGTTTTCATCATTGGAAACATCTGTAAGTTTTCTGCTCATCGATGCAGGCAGATTCTGGATGATTGTAGGTAGTTGGTTTGACTTGCAGTTAATACAACTCGGCTTGTTGTTCGGTTTCCGTTAAGGAAAGTACTGTCCGGTGGTCAGGGTCAATGTTACGTTCAGACAGTAGACTCGCGTTTGGTTTGTGTGTGTCGATATTTTTTATTGTCAAGCCTTTGTGTTCAATCGTGTCCTACAAAACATTAGACCTTGGGCCAGTGCCCAAGCACCTATCCTTCAACAAGATGAATTAAATAACGCCAAATCGTGGCCACAGAAACAAATACTACCTTCGGAACCTCAAACCCTCCACAGGCATACAGCTCCAGTGCTTGTCATTTGAAGTGATACCGTTCACCTCTGCTGTTATTCGCACCTTTTAAATTTACACCATGATGCACTCTTTCACCACAGCTGTCATCAACACTTTTTGTAGGAATCCAACAGCCTCTTTTAAGGGCAAAGTTAAAAGCAACACAACGATGAGAAATCAAGAGGGGTAAAACATTTTTGTAACACAATAACTTTATCAAATCTGCTGACACACGCATACACACATACCCAAGATAATAATGATACTTAGTACTTAACTTGCAGGATTTGCAAATAAAGTTAAATCAATGCAGTCTTCGCGTTTGCGAGGACAGCAGACTGATCATTGACGCTACGCATTCGCCGGGCACCGCGAAGGAAGGCAACACTGGCACGCAGGAGACCAAAACCGAGGCGACAACGCAGCAACGCCATAACCATTGCGTATGGCTTTCCGGTTTTTCTGCAGACATAGCAGCATTTCGCTTGAGAAGAGCGGAAGCAGCTCGACCGGCTCCACCTGTGGCTGAGAATACGACTGGAACGAAGGAGGCTCGCTCAACTTCTTGCACCCTCTGACCATACCTGCGACGCTTCTCGCGCTCGTGGCTCTGATAGCGAACAGCGAGAGAAGAGGAACGGTTCGAAGGAGTGAATGGGTTAAACACCCGTATATCAAGATAAACGAGTTCAAACCGTCCTCCCCAAACGCCACTCGCTGCCACATCCAGATGGGCCTGATGGTGGACGCCGTCCGATAGTGGAAAAGCTCGCCGGTGAGGGGTTGGAGATTAGACTCTACTTCTACGCGGTTTGTGAAGGAGAGGGCTTGATAGCCCAGGAGCCCTCGAAATGCTTGACCTAGGTCACCATGATTGTTATTCGAACTTGTAGGAACGTCTTTGCAATACAATTGTCGTGCACATGTTTTGTATTGCGAAGACGTTTCTATAAGTTCGGATAAAAAACATGGTTACCTAGGTAATTGAACGCCAAGAATAGCGAAGGCTCCTGGGCTTTCATGAGCAGATTTGAGCAATCCAAAGGTCCATCGGTATTAGAAAGTTATCAGCTATCGGCTCGAAGAAAATTTAGAAAGTTTTTTGAACAAGTTGTCGTACAAAACTCATCAGGAATTCTCGTGGTACTAGAGCATACGGCATGGTCCGTGGTTGAGGTAAATGCTGAAAGCCTGATTTGTCTTTAAACATTATATAATGACTTTTTTCGTCACTATTCTCGCTTGTCTGCTGATGTCTCCGCATTCCAGCTTTCTTCGATCGGTGTCGCGCCCCAATAGACAGCAGAATTTAGAAAAAGAAAAAAACACGGTTTGCGTGAGACTCGGCTGGAAACCGAGTTTTCCGCATTCGTAGGAGCGCCACCACCCTTCAAGGATCAAGGAGAAGATGCAGCTCCTAAAGCGGCGGGAGGTGAGTAGGTCAGCTCACCAGCAAGTGGTCAAAGACCGAAAATCCCATTCACTGCATCCATATTCTCATCGTTACAGACAACAGAAAGTGCTATATTTATATTAATATTTAATATTTATTACAACATCTCAAAACTCGGTGGGAACACCGGCCAATGTTAAGAGAGTGAGTGATTGCCAACCACGGCGAGAAATAAAAAAAATAAAAAAATAAAAAAAATAAAAAATAAGGGGAGGGAAACGAAAGAGTAGCAAAATGAACAGCAACAACTCCGTAAAAAAGATAAGTATCTAATATTGACTGAGTACGAGGTCAATATAAGAAAAAAAAGCCGAGTAAAAGACCGAGGCGAAGCCGAGGTCTTTTAAGAGGTTTTATATTTCCTATACTGACCAAGTATGATTTCAATATTAGATTAATCACGACAAACAGCCCGTATTTCAAATTCCAGAATGATTACCTCATGAATCCCGGTTTTATGATTGCACAACCGTTGCACCACCACCTAGTCATGCAGTGACAATGCTGCACTAGACACCTTTCAACTGCGCAACCCCTAAGCAGTCAAATATAATATTTGACCGCTTAGGTATAGCGAAAATCAATGGAAGTCAATACTTAGAGAGTGATAATGTCAAATACAAAACAGTGAAAAACACAGAGACGCAAAGGACATCCGGATAAAGAGCTATTTATGTCGTAGTAAATAAGGGTGCAGCACGGATCTTAAACAGGCGGAGTGAGGTCAGATCCCTAACTTCTCTGGGTAGAGTGAGCCAAACAGAAAAGCAATAAATAGAGGGGAGCGCAAAAGAGTGGATGAGTTACACTCAGGAAGTAAGAGCGAGTTTCTAGTTCTTAGAGAAGAGAACCAATTAAAACACATGAGATGAGGTGGGCACAACTCAAGCTTAATAGAATGGAAAAGAGAACCCAAGTGTGCACTGCGTCCATGTGACAACGGGGTTGTGTGAGCGATTTTATAAAGGGCGGATGATGAGAGCATGCGGGGTTGACGGAGGAGAGTTAAGGATTTTCTTGTGGTGTATTTCAAGCTTTGCAGCAGTGGAAGAGGATAATCCAACCCAAGACGTATCGGCATAATCAAATATTGGGCTGAGGCAGGCTTAAAAAATATTAAGCTTGCAAGAAAATGGGAGGTAGGAACAGTGGGGGGAGATAATTCCTAAGGATGTACTTGATTTTTTACAGATATATTCGATTTGGTGTACCCAAGAGGGTGCAAAGTCAATCACAATGGCAAGGTGTTTGTGAGAAGACACTATGTCAATGGGATTTGGAAAGTAGGCATGGGTGAGGGTTGTGAGCTCTGGCTGGAGCGGGACGAGAATTATCTTTGTTTTTGATAGATTTGGGGACAATCTTCAGGACGACATCCAGGAAAGAACTTCCTGAATGCCAGCACGCAAGTTGTTTATTAGGCCAGTGAGGGAAGCTGATGAGGTGAGAAGGGTCGTGTCGTCAGCAAACAGAGACGTTCCAGGGAAGACTGCAGGTACATTGTTTACGTGAATAATAAAATATTAATAGTAGGGGACCGATAATTGATCCTTGAGGAACGCCGGACAATACTGGCTCTGCAGCCGGGAAAGTGCCAAGCACAGTTACGCACTGAAAACGCCCAGAAAGATAGGATTTCAGCCAGGAGAGTGGTTGTTTACGTACCCTGAATGCATACTCGAGCTTTGTCAAAAGTCCTCGATGGCAGACGGTATCAAACGCCTTGGCCACGTAAAAGAAGCAAATACCAGCAAGCGCTCTGTTATCCCTATGCTGGCACACCTGCTGCACAATGCGGGTCAGTTGAAGGGAGGTGAAGTCGCCTTTACGAAACCCAGATTGTGCGGGACTCAGAAACGGCGAAACATGTCTGTATAAGTGATCATAAAAGATGCGTTCACACACTTTGGACCCGCAGGGAAGAAGAGAGATAGGGCGGTAGTTTGCAGGTTCGTGGCAGGAACCTTTCTTGTGTTACAGGTATGACTTTCGCTGATTTCCATGCGGAAGGGAATATGCCCGTAGTAAATGACATGTTGAAAATATGGCACAACAAGAATGCTATGGATGGTGCTAGAGCCTTGAGGACCCGGTTGGGAATGCCGTCAGGACCAGATGCGTTGTACGTAGGAAGCTTCTTCAGATGACGCCGAACAGTGGCAGTTGTGGTGATGACGGACGTGAAACAAGCTGAGGGTTGCGAGGGAGTGAGAATAGGGGGAATAGAGAGCAATGGGGCATCTGGCCGAGTCACAGAGGCAAACTGGGCGTTTAATGCGATAGCTTTGGCCAAAGGGTCAGCCGCCTGCTGAGTCCCTGTGGTGAGTGACGGAATTTCCCGTGATACGTTTCAAATTCTTGCTTGTCTCACAAACTGGTGAAGCGATGGAAGGTGTCCACCCTGCAAAGTAGTTTGCACTGAGCGGATAGACGGTGTCTACCCTGCAAAGTAGTTTGCACTGAGCGGATAGACGATGTCTACCCTGCAAAGTAGTTTGCACTGAGTGGATAATATGCTCTGTGCTTTGTCCGCGTCAGGGGTTTCACTATATTTAGCTGCTGTTGGTATGCTTGATTGTTTTGTTGTGTTGGGTACTTCTTAAAAATGCTATAGAGATCATATTTCCACTTGATTGCTGTGCGGAGATGGGCATCAACCCAGGGTGGCTGACTGGGCCGTGGGCAGCGGTGAGAATACGGCTGCTTTCCGAATGGCCAAAGGTGCTTCTCAAGGGCACTGTTGAGAATGGAAGAAAAGTGCGAAAGCGCATCATTGATGTTGCTTGCACGCAGATGCCAGCTCCAGTCAATATCAGCGAGCTCTGCATTCACACTATCCCAGACGGAAGATGGCACGGATTTAAAGTCATATTCCGGTTTTGCAGGAACATTCCTGAAGTGTTATTGGGGTGCAGCAGCGGGATGCCCGTTTGCAGCAGGTTCCTCACGATAAACAGCATCAGTAGGCAGTAGGAAGTGACTGAGGATCTGTGCGTGGTCAGATGCACCGAGAGGAGCAACAGATGTAACAGAAAGTAGTAGGTGAGCATGACCGATGAGCACAACGTCAATAAACGATGTTGAGCCGTGGGGGGTAAAGTATGTGGGGAATTTCACCATTTGGTCAAGGCCAACACAAGAGAAGAGGTTACTGAACTCCCTTCCAGCACGATTCGTGGTGTCTCTAGGAGACCAGTCAGAGTGGTGAGCATTCAAGTCTCCTGCAAGTACAATCGCAGAATTGGGTAGGCTAATATTGGACAGACAGTCCTCTAGGAGGTCACTAAATGCCTGGACTTGGGAGATGCTGTCTTAAGGGGGTCTGTTAACTGAGCAGATGATGAGGGGGAGTGAGGGAAGGATCACTGGCCGCAATTCGAGCCAAACCGCCTCCAGTCCATAGCGGTCAAGGTTGAAGCGGTTCTTGATGGACATGAACGACCTGTCAGTTACAAGAGTAGCAACACCGCCATAGCCTCTTGCTGGCAGGTTATCAGAGCTGGCCGAAGGTGGGCGGTCCAGGCAGTATGACCTGTAGCCTGGAATTGAGACGTCTACGGCAGCTGTCAGCCACGTTTCACAAACTTCCTCCGTATACAAAAACTTCGTGATTTTTTTTAAGGCTGCGCATAGCTCTGGAATTGTTCCGTTGGTCTTGGAATAACACTCGTGGCATTGTCTAACCTGTTTACAAGCTATATACAAAGAAAAAGCAACTCTGACGAATGAGATTGAGTTTATTCAGAGTCTTCTTCGCTCCTGTCATTGTCACCTGCGAACGCTGACTCCGCATCGCCAAAAGTCGCTGCTTCGATCGCATTTCGTTCAGATTCTTTTCAGCTGCTATGATGATCCGACGCGGGACTTTGGCTAGCGTACTCTTCATTCCCAGAGCTGTGTACGAATCGGTGTCGACTATATTCAGTCGTTCCAACCCGCGACCTCCATTATGCCGTGAAACGAGTCGCTCAAGCACATCCACACGCTTCGCATTTTCTCGGCAGGAAAATCCTCCCAACATTCTACAACGGCTTCGACGAGGTCCCTGCGATTCCCCTCCTAGGCCACAACGGAGACGTCTGACTGTAGTGGAGAGAGGCAAAGAAAGCCAGGTCGTCGACATTCCGATCCGGAGTCTGCGCTGGTTGCACGACGACTGAAATGTTTCATCTTTCCGTGCGAGTGGAACCGATTTATGTTCTCACGCTGCGTATGGGGTCGCGCACCGAAAGTACGAGCCTGGCCAGTTTCAAGGCAGCGAGTGCCGCGTGAGTCGTGACTCCGTGCTCCAGGCCAGCGCGAGCTCCACTTCCTCACGGTGTCAGTTTCGAGCAAGTAAGTGTTATTTTTTTTGATATTTGACTCGTGAGTTCCTGTCGGCAACGTCATCACACGCATGGCTTCCGTGGAGTATCTGTTCGAGATCAACCAAACCTACCTCAACATGAATGTGCGGTGTCGATGACAGCCTTTGGCGCGGTTCGTTGAGGAGGTTCTTGCTCAAAAACACCGTTGAAAAAAAGTCACGAAGTTTTTGTATACGGAGGAAGTAGGCAGATTATGTCTGGAGAATACTGCTCACATACTTGACTAAGCTCAGCTAATTTATTTACCGTGGAGCGGCAGTTAAGTGAGAGCACTGAGAAGGACGAAGGTAATAATTGGGCAGGTTGATTAGGAGTTTTAGTAGTGTGTCGTCCGGAATCAGGAAGGAATGGTGGTGCAAGTGGAATATGACCAATTGATATAGAAAAATATGTAATGCAACGAGGGGAAGCGTGTGATGAACTTGCTTGAGGCACAAAGGGTTGGGCAAGAGGATTTAGCTGTTTGCTAGGTGACCGAGAACCCATCACTTGCTAGCGGAGTCGGCATAGCGCCACTTGCGGACGGCGTGCGCAATGATGTCGGGCCAGAATTCCTTTTCAAGCAGCGTTTGCTCAAACTTTTCCGCGACAGAAACGCGTGCATAGCAGGAACCAAAGTATTGGGTTTCGGCAATTGTACGTACTACTATTAAACATTTTTCAAGGCAATAACAGCGTTGAAGACAGACCATCTTTCCCTACGTGAATACAATAAACCAATTGAAAGGGAAAAAATTTCTGCCGTGATTGACCTTCTCTGTCATTTAGCTAAGCAGAACGCGCGTCATCGCTCTGCTGGTCGGTATGGCAACATGATCATACAATTGGCGAGTTGCCAAGTTTGGCTTATCGTATCCAAGCAAAAGATCAGAACCAATGTCAAATTGTCTTTCTTCTGGACACAACTTGAAAATTCGATGCACTTCCCTTTTAAACAATGTAGGTAAGCATTAATGGCATAGTGTAAACTGGACTACGGTCCAGCGGATAATGGTGCAAAAACGTATGTATAATGCTAAGACCGTCATCATACTACGTTCTCCCACTCCCGTTTACCTATACGTCTTTGGTGAAAAACCCAAAACGGATGGTCCTGTCATCGGACAGGCGCAGTTCTTGACGCGTACACGCAGTCCGGTTTTTGGAAAATGCCTCAATTCTCGTTGGCTGACGTAGGAAAGAAACGAGAAATATAGATCTTTTATGTCTTTCATTTGCATGACGTCACATTTGCTGCTCGCAAATGCGAGATATTAGGAGCATGCGCTCCGGCTGCGGCATTCTTTTTCTTCTTGGTTTGCAAGTGCAGTGTAGTTGCTGTTGCTGCTGCCCCTGCAGAGGTTGCTTGTTGTTGCTGTGTGTGTGTGTGTGTGTGTGTGTGTGTGTGTGTGTGTGTGTGTGTGTGTGTGTAAGTGAGGTGTGTTAGGGGTGGGAGCACGTGTTGTGTGGCTGCACATAGGAGTGGGGAAGAGAGTAAAAAAGAAATAAAATGAACGCACGTTGATCGAGGTAACGGATCGCTCGGAAAAAGGCTTGGCGAGATACGCACGTTCATACAAAAAGTCGTATACCGCGTCTACGTCTCCCGTTTCCTCTGCTCCCGTTTTCACTCTTAAAACGGATCATAATGACAACCGACCAAAAACTCCTAACGTGGACGTAGACGCAGCGTTTTGTACCGTAGTGTGATGACAGCCTAACCATGATGTAATCGAAAAATCAGATGGCTAAGTCCTTACCTCTTTGTTGTTGTTGTTGTTGTTATTGTTGTTGTTGGTGTTGCTGTTGTTGTTGTTGTTGTTGTTGTTGTTGTTGTTGTAAGTGTTGTTGTTGTTGTTGTTGTTGTTGTTGTTGTTGTTGTTGTTGTTGTTGTTGTTGTTGTTGTTGTTGTTGTTGTTGTTGTTGTTTTTGCTTTTGTTGTTGTTGTTGTTGTTGTTGTTGTTGTTGTTGTTGTTGTTGTTGTTGTTGTTGTTGTTGTTGTTGTTGTTTTTGTTGTTGTTGTTGTTGTTGTTGTTGTTGTCTTTGTTGTTGTTGTTGTTGTTGTGGTTGTTTGTTTGTTTTCATTTAACCTCGCAACCTAAATGGGCAGACTTGCCCAATATTATGATGTCGATGGAAAGGGTCAACTATACACTGCGGATAATATCAGCCGGAAAGATGGTCAAGCAGTATTTCAGCCTTACCTGGGAGAATTAGAACTATTGGAAACTGCATTTTCATTCCGGCTTCTGTCAGTGGCTGTCGTTGGTTCCCGGGAGGTTATGGCAGCATTCGTGTTGTTTTCTGAACGGAACGCACATTGAACAGCAACATTGTAGATTATAAGTTTCTCCCATTGAAATTGCAACATGTTTGCGTTGGTTGTTGTGTGCAGAGCAGAACCCGTAATGCCTAATAACGAGCTCTTTGCAAGGTTGAATAACGGTCAGAAAACCGGACTTTGATTGTGCTAAACAAACCTGGGTGTATCGATTATTTACCTGATTTTGACTAGGCTGACAGAGACCTGGTGCATCACGGCCAGCTAAGGTAGATACGATGCTCACAATGCTTGCTTCAGGGTTGTGCTTAAAGAATTTCCGAAGTCAGAAGGGCGAAACGATAGTTAAATAGTACAATGCATGGTCATGGCCATGTCGAAAGGAGAACGTTTGGCATATTTAGTCTTTGGCGTGCTCAATGTTTGATAGTAGAACAATAGACTCAAAACTTACTGGTTGATTTTCCGTTCGGTGAAACAACGTGTTTTTCGTGTTCGATGAACCTTCACAGGGCACGGATACTCAAACGCGTTTCTGGCCAAACAACGCAACATGAACTGTACAAGATTTGATATCGATTCAACAAGAAATCTAGCAATGCTGCAGGACCGTCTGAATAATCCCGAACGCTCGCCCAATGCAGTCACATTGGACAAATTCTAACAGCTTTATGGCTGAAATCGCTGAGCGTCCGTAGAGCTTCGGGCAGGGTAACTGTGTGGTCGTTCACTACAGTCACATGCAGTGTAGCCCAGTGGGTGCAAAAGGATGCCTTTCGTGACCTATCGTGAGTGTACGGGATGTGTGCGCAGATTAGAGCTATCCATGCGTGAATGCAGTGCATGTGCCAGTTGTCACCAGCTGAAGAAACCACACAACGGCATGCACTAATAGTACAACATACGTCTAGACTAGTATCCTGCGGGTGATCAACGATCACTGATTGCGTACTTATCCCTTTGATTGGTTTTTTGGCCATGTGTGCTTTTATCATCGCTCTATGTATGGCTGTTCAATGTAGTCGGTTTATCGCCAATACATGGTCCAATCTGAGGAAAAGGCTGAAAACGTAGCAGAGCACTTCCATGCTGCTCTCTCGAATAACGAACAAGACAGACTGAGCACGGCTGACTATCACATGGGCAAAGTGGAAAGAATAATCGTAAAATAGAAGTAAGGAACGCAGCAACACGGCTAAAGAACAACAAACCACCTGGGCCAGACAAACTCCGAGCAGAATTATTCAAATATGCGCCTGACTGCCTTTTCACATATCTGGCTGAACTGCATACCATGTGCGTTGTGACAGGACAACACCGAACACTTGGCAGTTGCGAGTTAATCCCATCTACAGTACAGAATATGTATTCTGGGAGAGGTATCGATATGTCTAGCGCTTTTGACACTATCAGTCGCAGGAAACTCGTCAATGTTCTGTGGTCATTCGTGGAGCCAGATGAGATGCCCTGAAAACCAGCTCCTGGTTTCAGATACAAAGCTCTCAACACGTATCAAAAACACCCACAGACGACCATTCGCAACAACATCAGGCATCCTACAAGGTGATTCGCTGTCGCCCGTGTTATTCATCATGTACCTCGAGACTGCACTGGGCGATGTTTTCTCCTGTATCCCACCTTCACCTAATCTGGACATCGCCCTCACCTTGGCGCCGTCCCTAGGTTATTCCGATGATGTGGACTTCGTCAGCACCAGTTCTGAGTGCCTGGATTCGATCCTTCCTATTGTTGGCGGCTGCCTCGCGGACTGGGACCTGAAGGTAACCCAAGCCAAAACAGAATGCACTACTGTCCAGAGGAAGAAGGATCGAGTGGAGCAAGAGTGGAGGCGAACGTGCAAGCTTGGATTCATTAGCGGAGACAAAGAAGATAACGCGCGAAGAATCCAGGTTGATTCGGGCACATTTAACAAGATATGGCCAGTGTGGTCACGCGGACATCTGGTCAGCGAAAAGCTACGGGTGAGGTTCTACGAAGCCTAAATCAAGCCTCTGCTTATGTACAACGCAGGCACGTGAGGCCTCTCAGACTGTCAGCTGTGTACTCTTCACTCGACATGTGGAAGACACCTGAGAGTCGTGGTGGGTATCCGCTACCTACAAATAATCAGCAACGATGACATCCACCGCAGAACAGAGACGCAACCACTAACTATCCTGGTAAAAGCTGTTTGGATACGACTACTCCGTAACATCGGCAGAGTGGACAAGGTGTCCCCAGCACAAGTTGCCATTACATCCTACTGCCGACAAACAAAAGACGAGAAAACGATCCTTAGCCGGCCACCTTCCACACTCCCAACAACACTGAGAATGGCCCTTGCATCAAAGGAAATGAAGCTGCGGACGAATGAAGATATATCAGATATAAGGGACCAGGCACAGGACACAGCAGTGTGGCGGAATCTATTCCGCACCTGACTCTGCAGAGGAGTGTCCGGATTTGCTCAAATGGAACATGACAATCATAATGTATGAAGTGAACGAATGGACAATCGACAATCGGATAGTTCTTCCATATTCTTTGCCTCCTGTTTCTCGTTTCATTCTTTCGACCCCGCTGCTCTGTGCCTCTTCCTCGCTATCTCTTGTCCTCACTTTTTTTCTGACTTGTTGATCGACCTGAGCGAATGCTTGGGGTGGATGTGTATTATGTCGATTTGTTGATATTAAATTTTGTAGTAGCTCACTCTGATGCAAACGCGGAAAGGCAAATAATAACAACAATAACATCTCTAAATAAACGTGTCAGCACCGACGCAATTTACACCAAGTTAGCCAATTTAGTAACCGAACTTTTTAGTTCCCTTCTCATCAAAGGTAAGTACAGGGAAGAATGGAAAAAATGTCAAAATACAGTAACGTATAGAGCTACAGCAAAAGCATAGATCGGGAACCTCAAGTTATACGTGTGGACAAAATAAAATTCAGCAGATTTTCAGATTCACTGGTCACAAACAGGATGAAGGTGAAGAAATGACTAAAACATATTGAAAACATCAGTGAGGAGTAGCATTTCTGACACTTTCACGAGGATTAGCGCCAAGCAACTGAAGTGACAAAGCATTATCCTTCTGAACGCATAGTTCAGGGGACACCTTACGATAAATATAACGCTTCCAAAAAAGAAAAATGTAGTACAGATCTGCCACGGGCCAAAACGGAGGAAACATCATCTCTGTGCAACTCACGACAACTTTCACTAACCGACAGATGACCCTTGATAGGCGATTGGTGATTGTTGGAATGTTGCCTCTTTTTCGTCACCTCCAATGTCGCAGCTCTTTATCCGTCCTGTCTACTGGGCAGTCGCCTTGTAGTCAATTCCTATGCTGCAGGTCCTGACTCGTACATTCCACCACACCGCCTGGTCAGTCGTCCGGTATATATATGTAGGACTCAGTATAGAGTCCATGCACTATATGATGTCCAGCACCCTATATAGAGTCCATTGGTCCAAACTCCACTATACGGAGTCCAGGAGTCCACTCCGTTTTGATCAGCTTCATCCTGCCGCGCAATCCCCTATAAGGAGTACACTTTTTCTACAAGTCCCCTATTCACGGTCCAGGAGTCCAGTTTATCCAGTCACGGCGTCCTGTACTGTGTGTTGTGCCCGAATGAGAACAAACACCTTTTCAGTTTTGCTTGCCTCGTGGCAGCGCATTCCTTTCTTCACTTCAGCCATGGCTGTCAGTTCTGCTGTGCAGTTGCTGACAGTAATCTGTCTCGAGGTAACCAAGGAGGATAAGGAGACGTTCAAAATCAAATCTGGAAAGCGTCTTGTGGTTCTCTGAAGACGTTTCATCAGTGCGCGGGATGAAAGCAGAAATTGCAGAACGAGAAAAGTTCAGCACAGTTCAAATCTGACGAGTCAGGTACCCTGACACTCTCTTTCGTTCGACGCCACAAAGATCCCCTGTTTGGCTGGCCATTGCTGCCAGTAAGACATTTGAACGGTTTCATCAGAGCGAGGGATGAAAGCAGAAAGCGGAGAACGAGAAAAGTAACAACGTTCAGCACAGTTCCAATCTGACGAGTCAGATACTGAGAGTGTCAGTGTATTACACTGACACTCTCTTTCGTTCGACGCTACAAGGATACCCTGTTCGACTGGACAAGAGCTGCCTGTACCACCGTGTCAAAAGGCTGTCCAACTACATGGCAGGACGATGACTGAGGTAAGGAAGCTTTTACTCGTTTCGATTGGTCTGCTGTTCTGTCGTTATGCTTGAATTTGTTTCCATTTTCAAGGAGCGTTTGTTTGATGTTGCTTGAATGAATGCCCTAAATTAAAGTAATCAACCACTTCGTAATAATCCTCAAGGACTGCAAGGACTTTGCATCAATCGTATACGATCGTCAGCTATCATCAATTATTATTTTATTTCATGAGAAATGTATTTTTATCCCTGTGATAATTATGTAACTCCACGACACTCTTCCTCTACTAGGCTCTAGTATGATGTCAAATACAATGGGATCCACAAACGCAGTGCCAGTGTACTAGTAGTAGTAGGAGGTGGATTTCTTGTATGCCGATGACAAGAAAAAGCTTCTCAAGCTAATACATGTACTCGTATTCCATGAAGTAACCATTTTGATGTCACAAACATGACATTGTGTCAGTGAAACTGCCTCGTGACAACAAATCATTGCATTTCCATCTTGGGGAAGACTGACTGACGGCAACGCTGTACAGATTGTTCAAATCATCTCATTTCAATTTAGTTACAGTGAAGTGAAACACTGTGTACACTACATGTATGGTGGTGTGTCTGTGCGTCTTGAGTGTGCACAAACGACCTTATTCCTCGTATTACTAATAGATTATTGTCCCCACCGTCACCTGTTCACAGGTCTTTGCGTGGATGGATTTTCATTGAGCATCACATTCGTTGAGAACTTGGTAGTTGTGTGCTCCCATGCATCATTACGGTAATAAGCGTATCCTTGTGCTATCTATTTGTTGCAGGTGTGCTGATCTTCAGAAGCTTGCGGAACTGAGTGCTGCTGAACATTTGCATGGCCATGAGCAATGGTGAAGCTTGCTATTGCACTCTCAGCATGTGCTAGTATTATGCTGACTACTGCACTATGTTACTCTCTTACACTACTACATGTATGTAAACGTGCGTGCATCCGCCCACGTATGCATTCGTTTCGTATAATTATTTGTTATCCCTCTTGACTTTACGTGTAAATAGGTGGACGTTTGCATGGCTGTTGGAGTTGCGTGTGTATTGTGTCTCTACTATTTTCTTGGTGTTTTCTTGGCGTTGTATAAGTTTGTGTGTGTGTGTGTGTGTGTGCGCGCACAATAATTTGAAAAAAATCAGGGTTCGCGTGAGACTCGGCTGGAAGCCGGGCTTTCCGCATTCCGCATAATTTGAAAACAAATAATTAATCCTTGGCTCTCCATTATTCTCTTTCAATTCTTGGTTTTTTTCTAGGTATTTTCTTGGCGTTGTGTGGGTGTGTGCATGTGTACGTGTGTGTGCGTGCACAATACTTTGGCAACACTACATGATTGAGATATTGTATTTTGCAGCGTCTGCGAAGAGACCACTTGATTTGAGGATGGTGTTTGTAGGGTTTTTCATGTAATAAAGTGGCTGCAGTGGCGCCTCAATACTAATTTTTTATCTTGAGAAGTGAATGATGTAAAG